CCCAGAATTATGAGTTCCTGGAACTACAGGAATGTTAATCTGGGTATTCCATTGCTGTAGCAGGTCACGGCCCCATAAATTTATGGCAATATTGGCTATATATGGCCTTAGTCTTCCTATTTGCCCTTCTAGCCCTATGCATTCAACCCATCTGTGCTTTGTTTTACACGAGATAGGGTTCCAATTCCCAGGAACTGAACATCTACCTCTTGAAGAGGCCAATTCGGATGCCAAGATTCTGGGGTAATGATACTTACATCCGCACCTGTGTCTAATAAGCCTTCAATAAAAGTGCTATTTATACAGACTCTTAGCTTTGGTCTTTGATCGTTAATAGAAGTCTGCCAAAATATACATTTACTCTGTCCTGCTGGGTTTTTTGACTCATCCTCCACACGTATTTCATCATTTAGACCAGTATTACTTTTTACAGCAGAAATTGGAGCTTTTAATTTTCTTGGTGAGGCACGTTCTCCACTGTGACTGGGAATGACTGGGCCACTGTTGGCTTGGGGGCCTGCGAGAGGCCCCTCAAGGAGTTTCCCGATGGTATCGGGTTGCCTTGTTTATCTGTTGTTGACCTGCATTCATTGGACCAATGTCGGCCTTTACCGCATCTCCTACATATACCTGAAGGCCTAGGTCTTCTATTTTTGTCATTCCCAGAGGAGATAATATTCCTAGAAATTCTGTGCCTGCAATCCCTTTTCAGATGTCCTAATTTACCACAATTAAAACACCTGGCAGTTTGATGTCTCCTCATTGCTGTGGAAATCGCTTCTCCTACCCAAGGTTCATCGTTATAGCTAAACATCTCAACATTCATCGTATGCTGAATCCATTTATCCATAGGTGCTGATCTAGACTTTAAAGGCCCAATTATCTTTTTGCATTCTATGTTTGCATTCTCAAAAGCTAGAGATTCAAAGAAGTATTCGTCTAGCTTCTGGGTCTGTTACCCCTATGTCCAGAGCCTTAATTAATCTTTGCAAAAAGTCAATAAAGGGTTCTCTCGGTCCCTGCCTAATTCTAGTATATGATTCAACCCTTTTTGCTGGATCTTGTATCCTATTCCAAGCATTTAAAGCTGCTTGGTGACATAGACACAGTACTTCATCATCATAAAGAGCTTGGACCTGTGGATCAGCATATTCTCCTGCACCAAGAATTTGATCTTGGGAAACCTCGACACCTTTTGCTCTTCCTTGCTGTTCATTTTTGTTTGGATTCTTCTCTGAAATAAATTCCAAACATCAAGGAAGGTCCATTATCTAAAACTGCAGACACTAACTGATGGAAATCATGGGGGGTAGCTCTAGCATTAGAAGCCCAAGTCCTTATCATTTCCTTTACATATATGCAGAGTGCAAGCCAAAATTAACAATAGCTTGCTTAATTTCTTTTAGATCATTCATTGCTATTGGTGTCCATCTAGCTTCTCTGACTCCCTTTGAGCCTTTAGAAGTTGACGCTTTGTCAGAATTAAGTATAGGGTATGCCGCTAAAACCTTGGGTAAGCCAGTTCTAATAGCTGGTGTTGGCATTGTATCCTGTCCTTGTGCCTTATTACTCTGTTCACCAGCTCCAATCATTTCTTCAATCATTTCAAGTCTTTTTATTATTGTCTTTATTATTGTTTCTTTTGAATCCTGAATCTCCTGACCTGCATGAGTTTCTAGTAAAGATTGTATGGTTCTTAAGAGTGCCATGATCTTCCTAAATGATAGAATATTCAAAAGAATACTGAAACCTAGTAACCAGTAAATTAAGTTATCCCTATAGTCATATAAACCTTGCATGATATAACCCATTGTATTGGTAACCAGAACAGTAAAATTCGCGTTGGAAACGAAAACTGCCATATTACCTATTATCCAGCAGGTGGCGCTGTTGCCAAGTCGCGACGAAAACAGAGTCCTGTTTCAGAGTCCGCCTAGTATTTGTTAAAAACTGGAAAATGTAAGTTGCTCAACAAAGTAAATGTAATTAAATCAATTCCAGAGACGGAACCAGAAACCCAGAATCCAGGGGTAGAGAAGAGCAACCTGGAAGCCGCTTATGCCTCCACGTGACAGAGTCACCCTGAGGGGTTGCAGCTTTCAGCAACCGTGTACTCTGGTTTGTGCCACTTAAGAGCTGTGCTTGCAAGGGAGATTTAAAAATGACTCAGAAAGCCGGGCGGTGGTGGCGCACGCCTTTAATCCCAGCACTCGGGAGGCAGAGGCAGGCGGATCTCTGTGTTCGAGACCAGCCTGGTCTACAAGAGCTAGTTCCAGGACAGGCTCCAAAACCACAGAGAAACCCTGTCTCGAAAAACCAAAAAAAAAAAAAAAACCGACTCAGAAAAGAGCAAACCACGTGGCAGAGACTTCGCAGGCCTGTGGAGTTTAAATCCATGTGGGGAGGCCAAGGCCACCAGCGGCGGCTGAGGAAGGGAAGGCTCCCGCCAAGCCGAACTCGCGGCCTGCAGCCAAGCGGGGAAAGGAGAGGTTCTAAAACCAAACATTGGGCGCCAAATGAAGGCGTAAGTCAAAAACAATGCCACACCAGTTTGGAATTATGATTAATAGGGTGGAATTTATTTAAAGGGGAAAAAACTTAGTCTAGTTGCCGGCGGAGCAGGAAGTGAAGAGAGAGAGGAGAGGGAAGTGGCCGCTTTTTTAAAGGGAGAGAGACCACGCCCCAAAGGGCTGGTATCTCAGCAGCTATAGGCTGGAGGAGTGGGAGGACCTCCCGCAACAAAACCTCATTTAAAATATATTAAGATGTTCTCTACTATTGTCAATTCTGCCATTAACCTTCTATTGCAAGCAGTTTTTCCTTTCTGTCTTTTTATGAGTGTAAATCTTACTTGTTAAGTTAAGAGCCAGTATAGTCAAGCTCAGACCCAACTCTCCAGACAGATTCTATACTGTAGTTATACCTAATAAACAGCCCTCAACTGCTCAGAGATCTGGGGAATGTGATATTTAAATATTTAATTATTAAAAAACTTTTCATAACAAAATGGGACAGGTTGGCTCCTAGCAGCAGCACTCTACTTCCTCCAAAGAAGACAGAAGACAAATGAACACATAACAACATCCATCTACACTGGGCAAAACTGCCTTTCATCTAAGCTGAGGATCTCCTGAAGTGGAGAGAATCGCTGGAATCGACAGCCTAGCTGCTCAGGTCAAGGTAGGCCTGTCTTCCTACAGATTTCTTAGCCCACAGGATCTTCTGGAGCCTGGAAGGCCATGTGCCAAACAGCAAAAGACAAATGCGACCTTCAGCGACAATGGAGGACCCTAAAAGAGTAGCTCTGGGTGCCAACCAAGTAAGTTCTCTATCATTTTTTAATCAGTAACTCAAGTAAAATCTTATCCTTCTCAAAGATCTCTGATACAGTTTGATAGCTGAGAGGCTTTGCCAGGTTAAAAAAAAAAAAAACCTCACCAAACAAATTTCCAATCAAATTTCTCTCTTATGCTGCCTTCCATAGTCTTAAAAATACTTTTCATTTTACAAAAATATGTCACAGTCATTAAACAATGTGTATGTCTAAAACTTCCATTTTCACAAACCCAAAGAATTCTTGTGAGTTCCAGGGAGCTGAATTAAAGTTTCCACCTTAAACAGGTCAGATACATCCCCCTAAATTTCCTGGTCCTAAATTTTTTTTCCTTAAATTTAACTTTGTTCTGTGTTCTGCCAATACCTTTAACAGGTATAAGAGACACCAGATATTTCCATACCACAAACACCGGACAGGAGCAAAGAGACCAGCTATGCCAGGATGCGGCCAGCACACAGCCTTCTGAGGTTCCCACCCCCCAAAGATGATGCCCACAAATAAGCTGGAAGCAGTCTTGGGAATCCACCACCCCAATTCTGTCAACCTGTGGTGTCCAATCTCCAATTTTTTTGTTATAAAAAAAGAGCTGGGAATGTTATGGTTGTTCATCAATTTAAAAGATGTAGCCCCCCCCCACTCGCCATCTTGGCTTCTCTGTTCCCTTTCCTGCTCCCCCCTTCTTTCTCTCTCTCTGTCCTCTTTTCTCTCTTCCTTCTCTCTCCACCATCCCTCTCTCTATCTCTCTCTCTCTCTCTCTCTCTCTCTTTCACCGCCTTATCCCCTTTTTCCTTCTCCTCCATAATTTAACTAATAAATATCCAATTCTATTCAGTACAATGTGCCTTCCATGTGCCTCCCACCTGCCGCCTGTTCACACCGCCAGGCCTGCTGGGCCCAGCCCTCCACCGTATGGCTGAGCCAACCACTTTGGTTTGTGGACCCATGCAAGCTGCCGGGAACCAAAAATCATAACACAGGTGTTTCTGAATAGCGTACTTAATTTGTGACTAAGATGGCTATAACTGAATACAGGTCTTTGTTTCCAGTATGTATCTCTGTGTAGTCCTGTCTGTCCTGGAACTTGCTCTGTAGACCAGGTTGGCCTTGAACTCACAGAGATCTGCCTGCTTCTGCCTCCTGAGTGCTGGGATTGAAGGCATGTCCCACCACTGCCCAACCACATAAACTTTTAAAAAACTAATAAACAATTCATTTATCAAATTTACTAGATGCTTACTAATGCCAAGGGGTTGTCAATGGCCAAGTGACTGAGGTCAGTGAAATAAGAAAAAGTAGAAGAAAGGATCCCAGAAGGTAGGGGCTCCTGATCTGCTCGAGGGAGCACACAAAGCAAATCATCTGGGCAAATACAGGAGCTGGGGAGGCCACACGGGCAGCCTACAAAGGGCTTGGGACAAGCAGAGCCAGCTGGCAGCCTGAGTTCCGAACTTTTTCACCCTTTCTGTCCTGTCCTGACTTTATTCCCACTGTCCCCTTTTCTGGGTGTGATTGCTGTTTACAGACAAGCTTGCTGGACTGGGCAGCAATTTAAAAACTCATCTTGCCTGGAATCCAAGGCAAGAATGTGCTTAGGGTCACCTTTCTTCTTCTACGTGCTGGGAGAAGTTAATGGCCTGTCCACGTGACCTTGAGATGGCTCTGAATGACCCCCACTCTCCTCATCTGCTCCACCCACCCCTCCCCACCCACCACACCCCCATCCTATTTCCTAGTGCTCTTTGCCCTGGTAGAGATCAGCCCATCCCTCTTCACTCCCTGGCCCTCTATTCTAGACTCTCCAGGAGCATGTGACCCAACCCAGCCCCACCCTCTCTTGTACAAATACTCCCCTGGGGAGACAGAGCCTCAGCCTTGCTGTCCCTGGCTCTGCACTCTCAGGTAAGGACCTGACTTATTTTACTAAAGGTAAATAAAACAAGAGGGTGTCTGTGAGAGTGAATGAGGTACCCGTGTGGTCTTAGTCTCTCTGGGTATGTATTTGTGTATTGGACTGCTGCCTCAGGGTCTTTGTGAGGACATCGTACTTTGGCACAAGTCAGTCCATTTCTAAAGGATTGTGTGTGTCTGTGTCAGGTGCTTGTGTATTTGTATGCATGTCTGCGTTTCTGCCCTCCCCACCCTCCAGGCTGGCCCCTGTGCCTTCACCCTGCAGGAGTTAGGACTGACTGCCAGGCAGAAGGGTCACCTGGCTTGCATTTTCAGTCCCTTCTAGAGCTGACCATTCCTGTTTTTCAGAGAGCTAGGCCTGAGTGGAAACATCCCAGGGACTGTCTTTTCACTGCCTTTAGTTCAGGTTTGGATTGAATCAAGGGTTTCCTTTACCTCCCCAAGTTCAGCCTTATGAGATCCTTCAAGCTCAACATTAGTCAGGGGTGAAAGAGTAGGGGCAACCTGGACTGGAGAGATGGCTCAGCAGTGAAGAGCACTGGCTGCTCTTCCGGAGGACCTGGGTTCAATTCCCAGCACCCACAAAGTAGGAGTCTTCCAGCCACATGTAACTCCGGTTTTTGGATATCTGGTATCCTCCCCTGTCCTCTGTGGGCACTGCATATGAACATGGTGCTCAGACTTAAGTCCAGACATAACACCCATACCCATAAAATTAAAAAAGGATCAGCAAGTGAGAAAGACTATGGTCATAAAGTGGGACTGATTTCAACCGGAAATAACAAATCAATAAGAATGAGTGGTTTGGTGGGGCTGGGGAGAGGCTCAATGGTAGAGAGCCTGCTTTCCAAGTACGAGGCTCTACATTTGATCTTCAGCTCTAGGTCTTTTGTATTAGAGGTGAGTGTGTGTGTGTGTGTGTGTGTGTGTGTGTGTCTGTCTGTCTGTCTGTCTGTCTGTCTGTAAGTGTGGACATCTGTACTAAAACGCTCATTTGCCATATGAGCTCAGAGAGCCGCGATACCTTTCATCTTCAAGTGTATTGTGTTGTGGGTGCTGGACCATTTTGGGCTTGTTAATTGTTGTTTGACTGCCAGGCCCCGAAAAATGAGGCTAAACCTCAACAGTTTCCCATGACGAGAGACTGGCAGTGGATGACAAATTGATTCAGACCCTAAACCTCCCACCCTCTCCCAATCCTCACGGGTGGAGACAATAACAGGCAGTGGGAACACTGGAAGGTTCCATTCATCTGGGAGGCAGGAACAAAGTTCTTAAGGTCTCCTGGGTCCCCAGAATCCCATACTCCATCAGGTTGTCTGCACCTCCCCACTCGGTTATAGCGACCTCTCCAAGCCTCTGCATCTATGCCAGGTGTTTATACAGAGACCTACAAAGGGTGGGGTATCATGACCAGGGTGCCTGGCAGGCACCCCCTCTTGTCTTGTGAAGGGACTATGTGTGTGCAGCCCTAGGAGGGAGAAGCAAAGCAACCAGATTACTGCCAACTAAAGCATTCTCTGTTTACCACAGGTGTTGCGTGTGTCACTTCCTGCACTCACCCCATGAAGATGGATCCAGGTAAGCAGCATGGCTGGGAGTCTAGGAGGTAGAAGAGGGAAAAGAAGAGGAAGGAGAGTGGGGAGGGCCGAGGCAAGCAGTCAGCCATATCTACTGAAAGCCAGGTGTGCTTGCATGTGTGTACAGGTGTGTGTGCAGGGTGCCAAAATGCAAACAATCTTTTGTATTGCGAAGCACACATTATAGTTGAAGAAACAAGTGTGCACGTTTTTCATCTCACTAGCTCTTCAACTTGAGGAGACAAAAAGGTGGGTTCATCTCCCAGGGTACACATGAGGCCAGGGATGTCAGGCATGATGCTCAAAGTGAGCTCATGAAAAGCACTGTCAGGTCTGGAGCTCAAAGCCAAGCAGCCCTGCCGCTGGATCCCCAGGTCTGCAGCACCAAGCTCAGCAGCCCTGCCCTGGATCCCCAGGTTTGGGGTGCACAGCCGAGAGGCACAGCTGCTGTTCCTCTCAAAAGATGCAAAGGAACTAGAACTCCCATCAAAGGTTACCTTTTGGGACACCCAGTACCACATAGGTGGCTTCTGCAGAATGAACTGTTGTGTCCACTCTGGGGATCTCCGCACCCCAGTGATGTGGAACACCTGCTGGATAGTGAGGTAGAGCCATGCTAGAGAGATTTCTAGGCAGCAGACAGTGTGAGCAAAGGCCCTGAGCTGAGAGCAGAAGGTTGTGACCAGGATGTAACAGCAGCCACCACACAGCTCTGAGGGGCTATAGTAGGATGGACAGGCATGAGTGGGGGAGACTGCCTGGGGCCCAGATGGAGACAGAGGAGGAAGAATTGGGGTTTGCAACAATAGAATGCCTCCATGATGCCTGAAATTTGACCAAGGCTAGGATAGCATACCCCTGGCAGTGTGGACAAAAGCCTCACCTCCTACCTGGCCTGATGCCACCTGGGGGACTCAGCCAGCCTTGAGCCCATAGGGACACACAAGTGAGCTTCATATTGACTTCCAATACAAATCTGTTGTTAGTGGATGGCTGAATGAAGGAATGTTTGTCAGGTGAATGGCCAGGTCTGAGGAGCCTTGTTGAATGTGGGATGTGGACACAGAGCTAGCATCAGGGAGAAGGCAAGGAGTCCCCTTCAGAAGCAAAAGACTGACCCTGTTGTTTCTTTCCCCCCTTTCTCTCCAACAGGTTACTGGGTAAGAACATTCGCTACCCTTTCTCCCCTTGCCCACACTAACACCCCCACCTTGACCCCTTCCTTCAGGTCCACCTCATTCTTAGACCAGCACTTCTGCCAGATGAAGTCAGGAAGACTCAGGCATCAGCCTGGGAAGGGTGGGGTACTGCCATAACCACCTACCCTCTGCCAACTGCAACCTTCTCCTTGGCATTCTCTCTGTTTTCCCATCTGTCTCTCTCCATTCCTTACTTCCCTCCCCTGGCCCAGCAGCTCACCCTCTCTTCTTGCTGCTTCCCAGTCTGCTCTGTGGTCCCCTGGCTGCCTGGCTCCCAAGCCCCAGTCCCACTGCAGGGCTCCTAGGACAGGCAGGCTTATCTGCTAGGGAAAGAAGGGAAGGCTGACAGCTCACTACCTTTCCCTCCCAACAGGAAGCAGCCACCAAGCTCCCTGGTGGCTGGATCTATAACCTTCCACAGAAATGGGGGTGGGGGGGTGGGGATCCGGCTGTTTCTTAGCACAGCTGGGGCAGGGAGTCCTCTAACTGGAAAGTCCCCAGTTCTGGAGACTGTCTCTCCCCACCTGTAATCCACCTCACTCGAACCCCTGAGGTGGAGGGGGGGCAGTTTAAAGCAGAGTAGGGAATCATCCTACTACCAGAATAGGGGGTATAACCCCCTCTCTACCCCTCTGGACTCCACACCCCAGTGCCCTAGCACTAACCTTCCTGGCTGGACTCCAGCTAAGAAAGGTTATACAACACTTTCCCGGGCCTCTTGGGTCTGAGAAGTGGACATTAACTTTACTTTCATTTCTTTCCGTTTGAGTCTGGCAGGTGTTCAGAGGCGTTATATAGGCACCCTGTGCACACATCTGTGTGTACATGTGTGCATGCTATGTGCCTACCACGGCAATATACCCAGACATACCTATTTTGTTGTGTTTTTGTTTTGTTTTATTTTGCTTTTTTAAAAAATGTTGGGTTTGTACTTTCTGAACAAATTCTCTGCCATTGAACTCCATACCAAGACACACCTTCAAAATTGTATTCATTCATTTATTTATTTTCATTGTTTGAGAAAGGGTCTCACCACATAGCTTTGACTGTCCTGGAGCTCCCTATGTAGACTAGGCTGGCCTTGAGCTCCCAGAGATCCACCAGTCTCTTGAGTGTCAAATTAAAGTTGTGTGCCACCACTTCTGGCCAAAAATAAAAAAATAAATTTAACACAGGGACTCATTCTGTATATGCATACAGACCCTGGCTGGGCTGAACCTCACTATATAGAGCAGGCTAGTCTCAAACTTACAGAGATCACCCTCTGCCACCTCAGAGGATTAAAGCCATGTGCCACCACATGCTACATATATATAAACTGAATACACTTCCTATCTACACACAAACACATCCTTTATTTCCTCCTCTTACCTTTGACCTGCCACATCTCTCCTCAGAGCCTGGGTTTCCCCTACCTGGTGTCCGGGGAATTCTTCTCCACCTCCCCAGCTTCACCTTTGCTGTAAATACAGCAAGCCACCACTTGTAGCAAGGCAGAACCTGCAGCCTTTCTGCTAGGACCCCTGGGCCAGGGAAGCGGTCATGAGATAATTTTGTTTCTTACAAATAAATAACTTGAGGTCCAGGGAAATAGGTCAAAACTTTGCAAAGGGAATAAATCTAAAACAACAAGACTCTTCCCTTTTGCTTGCCCAGTACTAAGAGACTTCATTGCAAAAGGGGCAGGGCCAGGAGCAATTCCCTTGTTATCCAACTCCCCACCACAACCCCTTGCAGATGCTTTGGAATCCTGAGTCCCTTGGGGAGGGAGGTAAAGAGAAGCTGACACAGCCATTGGCACTGACTTTGAAGTCTGACATTTCCCTTTTGGTTTTCCACAGGGTCATTGCCCTCCTCATGGTCCACCACCCCCTGGCCCAGGACACTGTCACCGTGGTCCTCACCATCACCATGGCCCCGGGCACCCTGGTCCTCACCATCACCATGGCCCTGGGCACCCTGGTCCTCACCATCACCATGGCCCTGGACACCCTGGTCCTCACCATCACCATGGTCCTTGGCATCCTGGTCCTCACCATCACCATTGCCCTGGGCACCCTGGTCCTCACCATCACCATGGCCCCTGGCACCCTGGTCCTCACCATCACCATGGTCCACATCACTGAGAAATGAGAAGACGAGAGAACACAAGATGAGGAGGCTACACAGAACCCCCAGCTGACCCAGCTCCCAGACTTACCCAGAATTTTCCCTTCCAAATAAATAGCCTCCTGGAGGCCATGTTTGTGCTCCTCAGAGGTTGTCTTTCTTCATGTCCAACCTGGTACTCAGAGTTCAGTCTATCTAGATTTCCTTGTTGTGAAAACGGATGTCCATCTTGGCATTCCCAGAATCTTGACTTGGTAGTCATCACAACACAGGGCTTCTTAAGACTACTGATCTGAGGGACAGCGCCCTACTCTCTGTCCTTCCATTCCTGTCTGGCTGCTCCGGTCGGTCTGCTCAGGTCGGTCTGCATACGTTCTCACCATTTCCTAAAAACACCCTGAACTCCTGACCTCCTTTTTAATTTCTTTTATTTTATTATCTTATTTTATCTCATCTTATGGAGCTATACATTTTTCTCTGCTCCCCTCCACCACCTCCTTTTTTGCAGTCTCCTGTCTCCTGCTTCAGGTGAGACTTGTTGCTGCTGTCTTTCATTCCTTCTTGATTTCAAAGCCTTCTGAGCCAGCCACAGCCCCTGCTCTTTCTCCTTAAGCCCATTAGGAAGAGAAACTTCTGTCTTTGCTGTACCCTTCCCTGCCCCTTTTCTGCTACAAACAGGCAGATTGGAGTTGGTAGGAGCCATCTCATAGGCCCAGCCACACCCTGATCCCCTGGTGCCAATTTATTACTGCCCTGAATCTCTCGAGCCAACCGTAAGTCACTGATGCACTAAGTCAACCCCTAGATCCGCTCACGCCATGCCCTTGACCCCTGCCTTGCCTAGACCTGCACTTGGACACACTTGAGAAACATCTTCCATTCAAACCTCTTGAGTCTGACTCTCGGTCCCTCCCTTTCAGTCTTTGCCTATCCAAATCTATCCAGGATTCTTTCTACTCTGCTGTACACAGGCTTCTCATACATCTGCTATCCACCATAATTCTGCTCAGTCCTCCAGCCAGGCCTGCCCTATGACCAGCACCCCAATGTTCTTTTCCTTCACAGCTGGTCTCTGGTGAGGGCTGGCAAGTGCTCCGGAGCAGGTGGCTATCAGGTCTCTGAAAGGCGGAAGTGGGGAGTGGTGGTGACTACCAGAAAGGGGCTGGGCCTGTCTCTCTCCTCCTCTCATTCCCCCTTCCCCCTGTGGCGCACTTTAAAAAAAAAATCGCGAAGAGGCTTTAATTCGGAAGAGGCGGCAGACTCAAGTCCAAAGACCCAGCCAGGGCGTCTAAATATATAACCCCTGGGGAGGCAGAAGAACACGAGAGATGCTGAGAGAAACTGGGGTACTCATGAGACCCGACCTCTCTACCCCTCCTGCGTTACGAAGTGTGGAAGCCCGTGGTTCAAGTTGTGAAGGTTTTTGCACCGTTCGTTCTTTCTGGTTTCTTGTAAGAAGAACGATGCGCCCGGGAAGGGCGGTTTGGCCACTTTACTAAGGACAATGATCAGCGAGGCCTGTACAGCGGACTCCAGCCTTGGTGGCAGGGAACCCCCCAGCCCCCGATGTTGCGGCAGCTTGGGCCCACTCTTCCCCCACCTTCTTCCCGTCCTGCGTCCATTGGTGGATTCCTCTTCGGTCCCGCCCAGCGACCGGCTTCTGGAACTGACGCATGCGCAGCAGCCCACCGCTGCTTCTGCTTCAGCACCAGAGCCCGGACAGCGGCGCCGCCCACGGGCATGGACGCTGGTAGCAGCCCCAGTAGCTGCAGCGATCCTCTCCTTGCTAGTTTCCGTACTGGCCAACACCGGCCTGAGGAGAATACATTAGCCCCAGAAGGCAGCCGCCGCTGGGACAAGTACGAAGAGCCCTTTCGTAGATTCCGCTGGAAGATCTTCTCAGCACGCCTGCATCAGGTATCCTTAGCAGCTGCCGCCACACATCACCTCATTCATTCCCAGGCCCTTCTGAGAGCCCTTCTGGGGCGAGTATGTATGTACACCTTTATCTTGCCTGGTCAGTTTCTCCTCTCGCCGACACACGATAATGCCAACTCTCATTGCCTTCACCTCCTGGGGGACCTGCCCCACCCACTGTTCCCTCCTTTCTCCTGTCCCTTTCCTTGGCCTCTAGAGTCCCCCACTCCCCCTAGGCCTTACCTCTGCGTCTTTGCAAAAGGCCTCATGTCCGCAGCTACGTCAGTCTGCATGTTAGTGTGCAAAGGGGTGTGCATGTACAACGAAAAAGAGGCTCGCCAAGCAGGTGTCCGGGGGAGGGAAGGCAGCTGTTTGGGATACATCAAGGACTGTCTTTGTCAGTCACCATCAGTTGCTTGTACGCCCGTTGCCGTCGGCTGCTGCCTGCCCGGTCACATCGTTGTTTTTCTCCCCTGCATGGTCTCCTGCTTGTGTACACATTGGTTTTAGTCCCCATGTGTGGTAAGCACTAGACCAAAGCCGCCGTGTATGCAGGATCTGAGGTTCAGGCCATGGTCTGTTTGACCCCTGAAAGAGCCTGGGGCTGGTGGAAGAGGAAAAATACCTTCCTGCTGAGCACCCGTTCCCAGATCCGTGTTCCCCTCATTCTTCCACCCTCACCATACATGTGGTGGAACAGTCTGGCCAGGTAGCAATATAGCGCCATTTCTGTGTCCTGCCTGACTCTGCCACCCAGAATCTCTCCTCAGACTCGACACTACCTCTCTCCCCTGCCTGGACTGAGAGAAAAGGCATTTTTAAGAGGTGAAAAGCAGATCAAATACATTATGTCAAGATTATCTGATTTTAAATGTTCACTCTGTTCCTCAGAGGGGAGAGAAGGCCCCTCAGATGGAAGCAAACATTTGCTTCCCTCTTTTGTTAATTTGTCAGTCTGGAGGATATAAAAGCATATTCAAGAGGGTAAAACACAGGATGGTGTATTTTCCAGACCAGGGACTCTGCTTGGAGGCATAGCCTGCAACCAAAAAAAGGGTGGGGATTGGGGGGGGGCGCAGCTCAATGATAAAGCATTTTTCTGTCATTGACAAGGCCTTAAGTTCCATCTCCAGCCACTGCAGAAAAAAGGGGAGAAGGAGGTAGCGACAAATCAGGGCAGGGCCCAGGGCCAGGGCATCTGCACAATGGGCTAAAGCATCATTGGCTGTCTGGCATATCTTGCCAAAGATCAGCCCTGTCTGGTTTGCTCATTTCTACCAGACATGAGAACCACTTGTTCTCTTCCGGCAATTCTCTGGAACCCTCTGCCTCTCTCTGCGGCTCCCCAGAGACCAGAGATACTACACAGGCATAAGGACTTGTTCAACTCCACAGAAGAAACACAAGCATGCTCCTGTGGAATTAGGTACCATCCTGGGATAGGATAGACCAGGTATACGGGTAGATACGCTGTACATGTTAAACGCACGCACACACACATCACATCACATCACATTACCCATTCATACTTACCACACACAGCTTAGTCCTTCCCACAGTATAAAAATTAGATCCAGAGCCTTATATATGCAAAGAATGTTTTCTACTACATCCTGACTCCCACCCTCACCCCCAGAACATTTTGGGAAAGAGTCAGGCAGGCCACACAAGGTAACACACACCTGTAGTAGTGCAGCACTTAGGTACGTCACAAGCTCAAGGCTACTCTGGTTTCTCCCTTTTCTTTGCCTCCTAAGTCCCTCCCTCTGGGTTCTGCCTCTGCATCATCATTTAGACTATAGAGAGAGACTCTATCTTTAGAAAAACTCGGGTGTGGTGGCAAATTAACCCCAGGGCTCACTTAGGAGACAGAGGTAGAAGTGTAAATAGAGCAAGGCTTGCATGGGCTATATGTAATCTCAGCTTGGGAGGCTGAGGACAGGATTGCCCTGACTTTGATGTCAGCCTGGGCTATATATCAAAAGCCTGGAGAGAGAGAAAAGCCTGAAGGGTTTGGGGATCATTTGCCTCCAAGTATCTGAACTAGAGGCCCAACTTCCAATCCTACAGTATTTCATAAATTGACTGCAGAAATGTCTGAAATAGTTTATTATTTGTGTTTTTAAAATGACCATTTATTTTCTTGACGGTGTGGACTGCTCCCCTCGCCTGTCCTGGCCACCCTGTGGGATCACAGTGACATCCAGATGACTACTCTGTGTGTCCAGGGGCAGGTTAATTCATACACATTGTCGCTTCTGGAGCTCCCAAGCTGGGGCTCTGTGCCTGGGGTCCTGATAAAATGGACACTTTCTGTGTGAGGCCAGATTCACCACTTTCAATCCCCTGCCTGACTTGGCTCATAGGCTCTGCAGTGCAGGCAGGAAACCTGGGAAGCCTCTCCTCCTAGTTAGAGGCCTGGCTCTTCTCACTGAAAAGGCCAAAAGACTGAGACAGAGACTCAGCTTTACTGTAGTAAAGCCAGAAAATCCCAGGTTCTCTCCTCTGCTGCAAGGTCCTACACAGCGAAGAAGGGTAAAATTAGAATCAGTTGATCCGTGATATCTGAAGGGGACTGAAAGGGCCCGGGTGGGGGGGCAAGAGCCATAGAGACCCCAGTGGAAGGGAGCAAACTATGGAGACTTGATCCCCTTTAACAGGAAGGATTTGGGGAAAGAGAGTGCTCCATTTTCCAGCAGCATTCCATGACTGACTTCTATTACAAAAGAGACTGACACTTCAAGTGGGGGCCTGGTTCTTAGGACAAGTCTGTGCTCTGCACTGTAAGGTCATGGACTGTTGCACCAGGCCCTTCACCTCCACCCTGGCTACCCCACTGCCTTAACCCCTAGGAGGCAGGCCCTACTCTAAAGAGGGGGAGCAGAGCTGATACTGGTCATGTTGGGACCCAACCCAGATCAAACTCAGTGCTACAAATTAAATAAATAAGTTGGGGCGATTGAGATAAAGGCCAAGCCCTACAGCAGCCAGGCTGGAGAGTTTCTGGCTCTCCACAGAGATATAATGGCAGGCATAGTGCAGAAGGGGGAGATCATGGACAGCCGCATAACCAATGTGTACGCAAGCAGGCAGCCAGGTAAGGGGGAAAGAAATAATCACGTAACAGGCAGGGAGGTGAGCAGGCAATGGTGAAATGAAAGACCTTCTTCAAAGGCAAAAGGCAGAGATTGACACACTGTCTCCAGACCGAAGGAAGAGGAGGCCCCACAAGGGAAGCAAATGCTTTCTTTCCTCTTTTGTTAATCCATCAGTCTGGTAGGTGGAAAGCCTTTTCCAGGAGAGTAAGACACAGAAAGCAGGCTTTGTTCTCCAGAGAGAGACCCTTGCTAATGCTGGCCTTATTCAAGTCTTCAGGACCCAGTGCAGACCAAGGCACTGTGTTTATAGCATGTGGAATATACTAGGAAATAAATGAATAAGTAAACTAGGAGAACCTGTAGAATTAAAAGCTCTAGTAAATGTCAGCACCACGCATAGTGACACACATCTGTAATCCTAGCATTCAGGGAGCTAAGGCAGGAGAGTTCTGAGTTCAAGGCCAGCCTGAGGTACGCAGTGAGATCCCGTCTCGAAAAGTAAATAAATTAATAAATGATCTCACACATACACATGACACAGGGCATTTATCCAACTTCTCTTTGGCTCAAAGGGACTGGCCTCCAAGAGTTGGTACGTCGGCACCCTGGCTGCTTATATCATCAGCATTTTATGGAGCCCTCTGATGTCTTGCTTTATATCATCTTCGGTCAAATTTATGTATTTGTAAATGTTGAGTAAGTACAAATAAATATCAGTGATCTCAATCATGACATCAGATTTCAAATGCAGCGTTTAGAGAACAAACCAAAAAAGATTTTAAGGTTAGAGCAACAGCGAGACTCGCAAGATATAAGCCTTTGTGAACTGGGGGTATCACCTGAGAACCTGAAGGGACATGTTGCCCATGCAAATATGCTTCTTAGAGCACACACTCCCTACAGTCCTGAATCTGGAAAAGGACAAGAAGGCAAATTGCTGCATCAAAACATTTGACATCAAATGCTTCAATGTCTTTTCTGGGGACCCCAGAGTCAAAAGATGATGGAGCCTAGAGCCCACCTCTATGGCTCCCTTGAGACTTGTTCTCTCTTAAACAGCCATCCTCCCAACACAGGGAGGGGGATAGGCAGGTTCACCTATTATTTCCAGTTTCTCTTCATGGTTTCTGGACAAAACTTAGCTATTGTTTGATGTCAGTCATAGGGGCTGCAGCAGAGAGAGAAGTTCACCAAGATGCTATGCCTTCACTTTCTGAAGGAACAGCGGGGTTCAGCCTTCTTGGAGAAGGATGACAGCCAGCTAGCTGACTCCAGTTACTTTATTCAAACATACACAAGGCTAATAGGGGCTGGCAAAGGTTCCAACTCCCAAAGTCATTTGCTCCTGCTGGCCATGAGAGCAGAGAGCACACACAGATCTCAGTCCCTTCTGATTATGGCTAGCCATAACCAAAAGTACAGACTCCAGTTATCCAGGAGTGTCTTAGGACCAAAGTCGGTGTAGATGCAAGCACTCTCATGTAGCACCAAGTGCAGAGTCTCCAGAGAGACATTTCTTCAAGGTTTCAACAGTCTCAAAACAATTTTCAGTCTCTACTGATTAACCCAAACATAGCAAAGGCTTTGCTGAAACATTTCTCTCAAAGCCAGACACAAAGTCTGCGCATTACCTATCACTACAACGCAAACCAAAAGAAAGAAGACTTAGCTTTATCATTCAGGCCTCAACCCTGCTGCAAACCCCATGGTCTCCGGGCAGTCTGGCCTGTAGCCATCTTTTCTTTTCCCTAAGACTGGCAATCCTGCTGCAGAGATGAGACTCTACCTCCTCTTAGAGCAGAAGACTGGAAAGACAACTACACAGTGTCGTCTTATGACTAATTTGGGGTCATCGCTGACTCCTTCCTGCCATATTCCAGCTCCCTGTCTGAACTGTGCACACCTTGACTAAGTAAAGCCATGCTGTACAGGGCCCCGGGCCGGGGCTGTCAGAAGGGCAGCACTCCTGTTTGCTGAACTTTCTACCTTCCTTCATCCCCATTAAGATTGAGCCATCCAGATTTCTCTCTCATACAAACCAACAGTTGGTCTGTCTGCATCTCCCAACTACTACAAATTCCCAGGGGCAGGAACGGAGTCTTATTCATCACCACGCCACACCTCACAGTCAATCTGGCACTGTGTTCACCTAATGAACATTCCCTGTTCACCTTCTGAGCCAGTGAGCTGATCAAGGCACTGAAGCTATGGGGATGAACCTTTCTAACCATCAGCTTCTGCATTCCCAGCCTCCACCACCCAGCTGAGAGGGGGACAAGTCTATGATCTGATAGCCAGCTGCATCAAATATGTGAAGAAATACCCAGGAGGCCAATGGAACAGAGAGGGGCAAGTGACTGGTTTAGGGGGAATAATGACAGACGCAGGTGCTCAAAGACATGTGCTGGACACAGTGGAGCAGCCCTTTAATCCCAACCCTGGGCAGAGGCAGGCAGATCTCTGTGAGTTCAAGGACAACCTGGTCTACATAATGAGTACCAGGACAGCCAGGTATACACATTAAGACCCTGGAGAGAGATGGTGTGGGGATAAAGAGACAACCATACAGGAAGTTCAGAAGATCTTGAACGTGGCTCATGGTTCTAATCTTTACTTCTCACTGCATCTGCTTTCAAACCTGTAAAATGAGAATTTTCTTCTTTTTGTAGACAGCGAATAAGATCATGTATGCAGTAACAGGTGTGATAGCAAGCAGGGTTTGACACATGGCAGGTTGCCAGCGATAATTTTTGAAGGCACGGATATTTGGATGAAAGCTCGGACCTCAGCATGCAGGCTTTGAGCTTCCACCCTCCTCCTCTGCCCTCAGAACTAATGGAAAAATCAGCCCTGAGCTCTTGTCTCCTTGTCTTGCTTACTGAACAACCCTGGGACACAGATAACCACAACACTCCTCCTCCCCTGCCTGCCCTCTCCCAGGTCCCAGCCCAAAGGCATGGCTCCTGAGGCAAGCCCTGAGAGAAGCTGCTCCCTCCACACCTGTCCCCTTGAAGACGCAGCAGATGCGGCAGTCTCGGTGCCCACAGTCTCCACCCTCCAGGCTGTCGACCCAACCAGCCCGCTAACAGCTGGACATTTTGCCTTTCCTCGAGCACCTCAAGACTATCAAGAAGGCAGTTCCTTACTAGGGTTGGGCGATCAAGCCTCTCTGTGTGCTCATGTTTCCAACCTCAGCACTGCCATAGACCCCACACAGCATAACGGGGGCTGGAAGCCACCTTCTATGCAGCGCCACGTGGTCAGCGTCAGGTAAGGAGGGGCTTGAAGAACCTGCTGGCTGCCATTGAAAGGTGCAGCAGACACTGACGGAAGCCTCCAGATTCCTCTCTCAGGAGGAGCTTTGGATGTCTACTGCCTCTGATGAAGGAGGAAGCTTGGAGGGGGGGGCACTGAAATTTAGGGGTGGGCAACTCTAAAAACTGATACCACTTCCTCTGTGCCCTGTCATTTCTGTCACTCAACCTTCCCCATCCAGTGCACACTCAGTCTTTGCCTCACCTCCAACTGGACACACGCACACACCAGAAGACTGGTAAATCTCTTCTTCTCTTCCACAGGCAGGAACGCACTTTCCGGATGCCAAAGAGGTAGGTCCAGGCCTCCCCTGAACTGGGCGTGGCCAGGCTGGTACCCACTCCATGGGCTCTCTGCTCTGCTCTCCCAGGTGACCAGCCGTACCACCACACCCACCATCAACTCATATGGGCTTCCTCCCTCTTCTCCAGTTATTCCCAGCTGATTGCAGAGTGGCCAATGGCCGTGCTGCTGCTGTGTCTGGCCTTCATCTTCCTCTGTACCCTAGCTGGGCTGTTGGGAAGTCCTCCACTTGACTTTTCTGAGCCTTTACTGGTGAGAGGCCTGGGGACCTGGGGAGGGAGGGAGGCCCCTGGACGGAACCTTGCAGCTCAGTCTGAGGCAGACAGTTAGCCCTCTTGGGAGTAAGGTAGCCTTGGTGGGCTCCTGTAAGGAAGGTACAGAGAGCATATGTCTGCAATCCAGGGAGGGGGAACCCAAGGGGCAGACCTGGGAAGAGCACAGAAGGAGGGCACTCCTCCCTTGGCCCCACTCCCTCCTGCATGCCTGCCCCTCTCTGCTCTCCTCCCTGTAGGGATTTGAACCTCGAGACACAGAGATCAGCAGAAAACTAGAAGTCTGGAAAGCGATGCAGGCCCTCACTGGCCCCAAGAATCTGTTTTCTCTTTCCCCAGACCCTGAGATGAACAGGTAACAGGTTTTCCCATCTTCCCATTGAGAGGAGAAAGGGAGGAGAAACTCTGGGAGGGGACACTGGGTGACCTCTCCGAAGACATGTGTGAGGTTGCTGGTGTTCCCTGGGGGAGTGGTCTTCCATTTCATGTGAGTCCACCATCCCGAAGAGTACCCTGGAAAAACCACTACTCTCTCTATTTCAGCTCAAACCTCCTCAGCACCCTGAGCCCTGCAGCCTGGGGCAGGGCTGAGGAGAGTGTGGTCCGAACCAAAAGGATGGTGGAGCCCATGAAAGACAAAGAAGAGGAGAACTTCTTTTGTGGTCCTCCTGGTGAGCCCTAACTTCAGTGGGAGCCCCACGGAGTAGAATGAGAAGGTCCCCAGCAGATGTAGGCAGACAGAACCACGAGCCATACCTAAGCCAAGGAAGATGAAGTAATAAAATAGGTCTCAAATACTCCAGTCAGATGCAGTCAAGCTGATGCGGGCAAGATGAGGTATCAGGCATAGGCTTCAGACTCCTGGGAATCAAGGCTTCATTCAGGTGGCCTAGGATGAGCATCTTCTCTTTGGTGGGCCCAGGTTCTGGGGTCAAAGGGCTGAGCCATGTGGGGGTTGTGTTGCAGAGAAGAGCCATGCGAAGCTGGTGTTTGTATCCACCTCTGGAGGAAGCCTGTGGAACCTGCAAGCCATCCACTCCATGTGTCGCATAGAACAGGAGCAGGTGAGCTTGCTGGGGAGACGCCAGGGGCTTGGGTGGGAAGGATCTGAGGACACAAAGGACCTGGAGCCGGTGCACTGCAGGACCACCAGGGTGGCCTGGGAAGAGCCTGTTTGGGAAAGTATCCCAACTCTACTGGAGGATCTGGTTCGGGATAGGAAAACAAAGTTGACTGATTTTAGAAGCACCAACCTCCTGTCACAAAGAGAGTTCAAGCAGAGCCTGGTTAGTTTCAAAGGGTTTGAAAATAGATCCCAAAAATGTGTTGAGGGGACTCTGACCCTTGGAAGCTGAGACTCTAGGCTTCAAAGCTGCAGCCCTTTTCAACCCAAGCAAGGCCAATTCCACTATGCTTTTAGAGAACCACATACAATCACATCTATGATGGGTTCCCTGCTAAAACCAGTGTGGAAACCACTGTGTAGTTCTGTGGCCCAAGACACCCCCCCCCCGCCCAGTGTCACACCATGGCGTCCAGAGCATCAAAGGACACTGGTTAAGAAGATGTGTTCTTCACTAAGGTGCTCAAGTTCAAGGCTAGCTCTAGGGCTCCCTTGGCACATGACTTCCTAATGTCTCGGGGCCTCATATGTACTGGGTTTTGTTTTTGCAGTGCTGGGGATCAAACTTAGATACTTGTGTACACTAAGCATGTGCTCTGTTACTGAGCCACATCCTCAGCCCTGCATTAGTGGAAAAGGGACAGTGATGATACATCCTTTATAGGGATCGTGACAGTGAAATGAGATAGGATTTGGAAGACTTTAGCATAATGCTGACACTAGTGACGGCTTGATAAACATTCAGCGTTGTCATCACTGAGAACTAAGCCCCGAGGCTGTGCGTGTTGGTTTAGCAGAGAGGGGGCGTCTGACTCCTGGGTGGGGGCTCTTTGTACAACCCCAGCTGCTGTGATGTGAACAGCAAAGCTGAAGAGGAAAAGGGGTACAGGCTGGGAAAAGAGTTGAGCACCCCAGGCAAAGAGGAGCTGGGATTTCTCAGTGACCCTAGAGAGTCTCCCACTGCTTGCTTCCGGCTTCCAGTCTCCTGGCCTTGTTCCATATGTGGCCTGTCACCTCCACTCCAGTCCCTGACTCAGGAAGTTGCAGAGTTAAGGTTGGGTGGCCTGTAGGAGCCCTTCCAACAGAGCCTCTGGGAGAGGTCTGGGAACATTGCCCTGAGGGTCCTTTTCGATGAAGCCAGGATAGAGCTGCTAGAATCCAGGCCAGGGGCAAAGGCAGCTTTGAGATAAAGCATTTCTGATGGGCTGTCAAGATGCTTTCTCTAAGCCCTTCAATGTGACGGAAGAGGAGAGGGCCCAGGGCAGGTCTGGGGAGACCTGGCCCCTGGACTTCCCTCTGAGCTCCCTCCTCCCACTCCTGTGTGCCCTACAGATCCGCTCTCATATCAGCTTCGGGGCTCTGTGCCAGCGATCGGCAGCCAATGAATGCTGTCCCAGTTGGTCCCTGGGCAACTATCTGGCTGTGCTGTCCAACCGCTCCTCCTGCCAGGACACTACCCAAGCTGACGCAGACCGCACGCTGGCCCTGCTTCGGTTCTGCGCCACCTTCTATCATCGTGGTGTCCTGGTGCCCGCTTGTATGGGCTCCGGGCAGAACAAGCCCCCGTTTTGTGCCCAAGTTCCCACCAAGTGTACCCGGAGCAGCGCTGTCTACCAACTCCTGCACTTTCTGCTAGACAGAGACTTCCTGAGTCCCCAGACTGCAGACTACCAGGTACCCTCCCTCAAGTTCGGCCTGCTCTTCCTGCCCATTATAAAGACTTCCTCCCTGCTAGATATCTACCTGGATGGCCTAGCTGACCCCGTCAAGGTCTCTGACAACTATACTTCTATCAGTGGCATGGACTTGGGCCTCAAGCCTAGACTGCTCAAGTACTACCTGGCCGAAGATACCATGTACCCCTTGCTGGCCCTAGTTGTCATCTTCTTTGGTATGTCCCTCTACCTGCGTTCATTCTTCATCACGTTCATGTCACTGCTGGGGGTGCTAGGCTCCCTAATGGTGGCCTTCTTTCTTTACCACGTTGCATTCCGCATGGCCTACTTCCCCTTTGTCAATCTAGCCTCCCTCCTTCTGCTTAGTGGCGTCTGTGTCAATTACACTCTTATCTTCTTCGACCTGTGGCGCCTCAGCAGGGGCCAGGTGCCCTCTGGGGGTCTAGCGCATCGTGTGGGCCGCACCATGCACCACTTTGGCTACTTGCTTCTGGTCTCAGGCCTCACCACCAGCGCGGCCTTCTACGGCAGCTACCTGAGCCGCCTGCCCACCGTGCGTTGCTTCGCCCTTTTCATGGGCACTGCTGTGCTAGTGCACATGGGGCTCACACTACTCTGGCTTCCTGCCACCGTTGTGCTCCAGGAGCGCTACCTGGCACGAGGCTGTGTGTCCCAAGCGCAGGGCCAGAGGGGCGGTAGCGGCTCCTTGCGGCTGTTGCTGGCGTTGCACAGACGGATCCGCATTCTTCGCAGGATTATTTCCATCCTTTCGCGACTGCTCTTCCAGCGCCTGTTGCCCTGCGGCGTCATTAAATTTCGGTACATCTGGATCTGCTGGTTCGCGGCGTTGGCGGCAGGGGGCGCCTACATCGGCGGCGTCAGCCCTCGCCTGCAACTGCCCATTCTTCTACCACTTGGCGGCCAGGTCTTCCGGTCTAGCCATCCCTTTGAGCGCTTTGATGCTGAATACCGCCAGCAGTTCCTGTTCGAGGATCTGCCTCCAAACGAGGGTGGCAACTTGCCAGTAGTTCTGGTGTGGGGAGTCCTGCCAGTGGACACTAGTGATCCCCTGGACCCTCGTAGCAACAGCTCGGTAGTAAGCGATCCTAACTTCGCACCCAGCAGCCCCGAGGCCCAGGAGTGGCTCCTGGAGCTCTGCCATGGAGCCCGGAATCAGAGCTTCTTTGGAGATCAGCCAGAGGGTTGGCCTACGCTGTGTTTGGTGGAAACCCTCCAGCAGTGGATGGAAAGCCCCAGCTGTGGCCGCCTGAGTCCCGATCTATGCTGTGGCCAGTCAGAATTCCCCTGGGCCCCCCCGCTTTACCTGCACTGTCTCAAGATGATGGCTCTGGAGCAAAGTCCTGATGGTACCCGTGACCTGGGACTCCGCTTCGATGCTCATGGCAACCTGGCTGCTCTGGTTCTGAAGTTCCAGACCAATTTACCATACAGTACAGAGTACGGCCCGGTCCACCACTTCTACACCGAGGTCAGCCGCTGGTTCTCTACAGAGCTGGACAATGCACCTCAGGGCCTCAACCAGGGTTGGTTCACCAGCACCCTGGAGCTGTACAGCTTGCAGCATAGCCTAAGCACCGAGCCTGCTGTGGTGCTGGGTCTGGCTCTGGCTCTGGCCTTTGCCACACTGCTCCTGGGCACCTGGAACGTTCCCCTTAGCTTGTTCTCTGTGGCAGCTGTGGCTGGCACCGTGCTGCTCACTGTGGGCTTGCTGGTTCTACTCGAGTGGCAGCTCAACACTGCCGAGTCCCTCTTTCTCTCGGCCTCCGTGGGCCTCTCTGTAGACTTAACCGTCAACTACTGCATCTCCTATCACTTGTGCCCGCACCCCGACCGCCTGAGCCGCGTGGCCTTCTCCTTGCGCCAGACCAGCCGCGCCGCAGCAATGGGGACCGGCGCGCTGTTTGCCTCAGGCGTGCTCATGCTGCCTTCCACCATTCTGCTTTATAGAAAGCTGGGCATCATCGTCATGATGGTCAAGTTTGTCGGCTGTGGATTCGCCAGCTTCTTCTTCCAGTCCCTGTGCTGTTTCTTCGGGCCAGAGAAGAACTGTGGGCAGATCCTGTGGCCCTGTGCTCACCTGCCATGGGATGCCGGGACTGAGGAGCCTGATGAGAAGGGTCGGACAGGACCACCCGGGTTCTCTGAGCACTATGAGCTGCAGCCCCTGGCACGGCGCCGGAGCCCCAGCTTTGACACCAGCACAGCCACCAGCAAGCTGTCCCACCGGCCTTCCATACTCTCTGAAGACTTGCAGCTACATGACGGCAGCTGCTGCCACGGGCCGACACCCGCCCCTCCCTCCCCAAGGGATCTGCTTCTGGACCACCAGACAGTCTTCAGCCAGTGCCCAGCCCTGCAGACTTCTTCTCCTTATAAGCAAGCCGGTCCCAACCCCCAAACCTGGATCAGGCAGGACTCCCAGGGACAGAAAACCGAGCCCTTGCAGGCCCTGCCAGAAGGCCCTGCCCACTGCCCCAACCCCAAAGTTGAAGAGCTCCCGGACTCTTCAGTCAGCACCCTGGAGGGACTCAGCGCCTCTGATGACACCTACGCCTCGGAGCCCAGTGCCCGTGTGCCAGATTCTGTAGGCACCTCACCGGAAGCCATGAATGGCACTGGACACCCGGTACTTGAGCGAGGCCAGCTGAACGGGAAGCGTGACACTCTCTGGCTCGCACTGAAAGAGACCATCTATGACCCAAATCTGCCCAACTCTCACCATTCTAGCTTATCCTGGAAGGGCCGTGGGGGGCCGGGTGACATCAGCCCGGTGGTGCTTCCCAACAGTCAGCCAGATCTTCCCGATGTTTGGCTCCGTAGGCCTAGCACCTACACCTCTGGCTACAGCAGCTGAGAGAGCGGGGAAGGCCAGACCAGGGTCCAGAACCCTGTTGGTGAAAATAAGGCAGAGGCCACACTAGTTTAGAGCCAGAAGGCATTTTTCCACATCGACATGGTGTCTCACCCTCCAACTATGGTCTTCAACCCTGACAGATGTCCCAGCCTCCATCTCTTTGCTACTTAACCCCTATGTCTGGAATTCTCAGTGGGAGGGCCTTGCAAGGTGATACCAAGCTCTCCTTGTAAGGAGTTGAGGGCTCACCTGCCTGCACAGTGCCAACAAGGACTCCTCTGGAAAAGAGAGGAGGCCAGATGTACAGCTCCAGGTATCAGGGGAGGCTGGTCATTTTTCTCCCACGTGGCAAGTTCAGTGATGTTAAACTACCCCATCTCTGGGATCCCATCAGGGAACCTCACTAACTATAAAAGCCCTTAGCCTCCATAGCCTGCTGAATCTCACCCCTTCCCATCGGATCTTAATCGGGATACTTCTCTTTCGGGGGAGCTTTTCTGGAGCAGAATTGAACCGAGGCCTCTGTCCTGCCCTGCCCTGCTTGCTGGTGTGACTAGACACTCTCCAAAGGCAGGACAGAGATGGTTGCGGGCGGGGGCGGGGAAGGGGGAGCAGGAGGAGATGCGAACGTTGGCTTTGGAACATCTGGAAAACGCAGGATTCCCTCACCGGAAGTGGACTCCAGAATGCTCCCCTTTGCCACGCCCACACCTGTCAGTCTCCTTGGACTCTGCGACTCCACTACAGAGTGGCCTGCAGCTGTCCACGACACTAAGTAAAATTGATTGATTTCCCCAAAGTCCCGCCACTGGCTCCTTCTGCCACTGCAGCTCCCAGTCCCCTTCCAACTGCCTGCTTCAGGGACTGTCTGCTTCAGGGCCAGTGGATCCTGGCTGTCGTGATCCTCTGCTTCTGACCCTTACCCACGCTCCCATCTTGAGGGTCTCTCTGTAAACTCTCTTTCCTCTTCCACCTGCAGAGAGAGTTGCAGTCTGAGCAGACCCCAGCGTTGCTCCTTTCCTTTGCGCTTGCCTCTGAAATCCAGAGATGCCCCTGGCAATGGAGCATAGCAGGTACAAGCCCATCTGCATCTCAGGCTTCAAGGGCGCGCCTCTCTCATGGCTAAGGAGTACAAAGAGGCTTGGCCAGGAGAGGTGCTGAGGGACAGAAGAATCTGAGCAGAATCTAGTTAAGACAAGAACACAGACTCGGTCTTGTGGGGAGTTTGTGAACCCGAAATTTCTCTGGGTCAGGTTCCCTGGTTTCTAAAGACTGGGTCTCTCTAGGGTGTTAAGGAGACTCAAAAACCAAAGCCTGGCTTTTCCCACCAAAAGCTAAGGTTCTGTCCTGAGGCTTTATCCCACGTGACACAGCTCATGACACCAGGCAGCGTCAGCAAGTTGACCGAACCCCTGCTCTGAAATGGTATTACAGGCAATAGAGGTGTGATATCAAGAGCTGGCCTTCTGCCTGGGAGCAGCTTGCATGCACAGGCAAGCATTAATGGACGCAGTGCTATTGCTGAGCTTGGGTAGCCAGCGCAAGGTGACTGGGAAGATCTTGAAAGAAACGGCTGGAGCAGCTTCCGAAGATCAAGCATGGAGAGATGGCTCAGTGGTTAAGAGCACTGCTTGTTCTTCCAAAGGTCCTGAGTTCAATTCCCAGCAACCACATGGTTGCTCACAACCATCTGTAATAAGATTTGGTGCCCTCTTCTGGCCTGCGGGCATACATGCAGAATACTAAGAATATTACATACATAATAAAAAAATAAAAAATAAAAAAAGATCAAGCATGTCAGATGAGAGGAGACATGGTGATCCAGCCCCACTGTCCCCTAGGAACCGGATCGTTCTTTCAAAGAACTCCCGTGTCTAAAAGTAGCTGCTCCAATGCGTGTGAGCACTGGGGAGGGGGAGGGGAAGAGCCCAGCTTCCCTTCCTAGTGCTGCTCTCCAGGGCCCCCAGTTTCCTGGCAGATCCAGAAGGCATGACATGAAGACTGCCAATCTAGGCCATTCTACAGGTGAGTGACAGAGAAGTGACAAGCTTTCAGTGCCAAACAACCTGGGGCAAAGCTAGAGGCAAGCCGGAGGGCGCTTTTGTTTTCTTTTGTTGTGCTCCTGTGACGCTGAGATCTACCTCCCACCCTATGCAGCCCTAGCTAAGTGGAGCAGAAACTCAAATGAGAACATAAGAATATGGAAAAGTCAGAAGGCACTGCCCCTCAGTATCCGCGGAGCTGCTTCCAGCACCCTGCCCTCAGGGTGCCGAAATCTGAGAATGCTCAAGTCCCTGTGTAGAACTGTGTAGTATCTGCATATAACGAAGCATATTCTTCTGTATTATTTTAATTGTCTCTAGAGCACTTATAACTCCCAATATGATGTAAATGCTGTCAGTCCTTACACTGTGTTGTTATAATAATGACGAGGAAAAAAAAACATGTTTTGAGCTTTTCTTTCTTTTCTTTTTTAATGTCTTCAGGTTTGGTGTGGTCCCCCCCACCCCCACCCCTGAATATTCTGGGTCTGTGTGATTGAATCTGCAGGACCAGAATTTATGGCTACAGAGAGAGAGCTGACCCTGTAGGCCAGCTCCTTGCAAGATAACTAAGTTGAGATAAATGACCCCTGATCATGCTGACATCATACAGATCCTGTAGTCTCAGCTACTTGGGAGGCTAAAGCAGGAGGACCACTTGAGCCAGAAGACCAAGGATAGCATGGGCAACATAACAAAACCATGCCATAAAACAAAACAGAACAAAACAAAACAAGCAAACCCGGGTGGTGGTGGTGCACACCTTTAATCCCAGCAGTTGAGAGGCAGAGATAGGCAGATCCAGCCTCCACATACATATCATAGTGCATGCATGCATGTGTTCACATACATATTAAATAAATATATGTTTTTAAAAATGTTTAAGATGAGGGAAGGTTGGACACATGTCTTACGATGGCTGGTCAGTGGTGAAAAGTTTTTGCGGCCTGATAAACCTCTTCACTGACGCAATAATCCAAATCAGACCAGGTTGGATGACGGGTCCCAGGGAGGAGGAGGTGACTTATCTTCCTAAGCACGAGCAGTTCTGCCTTGGGCTGGGGTATAGCTTAGTGGTACAGCACATGTTTAGCGTGCAGGAGTCCTGTAATCTATCTGTAGCAACCCTCTCCACAAAATATTGCCTTGGCTCAGATGAGAGCACAGCATCTCCTCGGCAATTGGCCTTGGCTTTCCCACTGCGTGCTATACCTTAGCCCAGCAGGTTCACAGCCCTGAAGAGTCTGCTCCCTCAGCGTGTCTGTGCACCCTGAAGAAGAGTCAGCTCCCTCAGCTGGGTGTGTGATTGAGCACCCTGAAGAAGAGTCTCCTCCCTCAGCTGGGTGTGTGATTGAGCACCCTGAAGAAGAGTCTCCTCCCTCAGCTGGGTGTGTGGTTGAGCACCCTGAAGAAGAGTCTCCTCCCTCAGCTGGGTGTGTGATTGAGCACCCTGAAGAAGAGTCTCCTCCCTCAGCTGGGTGTGTGGTTGAGCACCCTGAAGAAGAGTCTCCTCCCTCAGCTGGGTGTGTGGTTGAGCACCCTGAAGAAGAGTCTCCTCCCTCAGCTGGGTGTGTGATTGAGCACCCTGAAGAAGAGTCTCCTCCCTCAGCTGGGTTTGGCTGTGCACCCTGAAGAAGAGACTCCTCCCTCAGCTGGGTGTGACTGTGCACCCTGAAGAAGAGTCTCCTCCCTCAGCTGGGTGTGGTTGAGCACCCTGAAGAAGAGTCTGCTCCCTCAGCTGGGTGTGGTTGAGCACCCTGAAGAAGAGTCGGCTCCCTCAGCTGGACTGTGAGCATGCCCACAATCCCAGCACTTGGGAAATAGAAGCAAGAGGATCAAGAGTTCAATGTCATCCTCTTTGGGGGAGGGGCATTAGTTTTTATTAAATTTGTTTGGTTATTTGTTTTTGTTGTTGTTTGTTTGTTTGTTTGTTTTTGAGACACGGTTTCTCTGTGTAGCCCTGGCTATCCTGGAACTCACTCTGTAGACCAGGCTGTCCTCGAACTCACAGAGTTCTCCCGAGTGCTGGGATTAAAGGTGTGCACTACTCCTGCTGGCTTCAAATTTAACCCTTTATAGCTGGTTTGAAATCAGACTATCTCAAGTCTCCAAAGAACCCTTCCCACAAAGAATCTGCAAGCTCCCTTCTCCCCACCTCTCTCCAATGATCTTAAGAGTGTGGGGGAGAAGATGTGTATGTGGGCATCAGAGGTTTGGGTGCACATAAGAATCTTTTTGTTTGTTTGTTTGTTTTTGTTTTATGAGACAGAGTTTCTCTGTGTAACAGTCCTGGCTGTCCTGGAACTCACTCTGTAGACCAGGCTGGCCTCGAACTCACAGAGATCCACCTGACTGCCTTCTGAGTGCTGAGATTAAAGGTGTGAGCCACCACTGCCCAGAAAGAATTTTTTTTAAGGATTTCTAGGTCCCAGTCTTGTCAGTCATTGCCACACAGCTCTGCAGGAAGTCAGGTGAGTAAGAGCAGCTGAGACAATGACCATAACTATGCTCCAGGACACCAGACCTGGAGGACTGGAAAACCTCAGCGATAATCTAAAAGGTCACCTTGGGACTGAAGGTAGAGCTCTCGAGAGACAGAGAGCTTGCCAGCAAACATGCAGGTTCCCTAGCAGGTTCCCTGGGTGTAGTCAGCGTCACTGGGAAAGCAAACAATGAGAGAGAAAGAATCTGAATATAACGTTGTGCCTAGAGCGGGTCAGACTAACAGCAGGCGACCCACATCTGCGGTGAGCCACCCTGCCTCTCTGAAGCTGGCGCTGAAGTGGAGATAACGCGGCCCAGTATGTGCTCCTCAGCATTATCTGTCTCCTTACCTGATACTTGGGGCAGGTGAATTGAGTGTATGGCCCTGGCCACGTGACGTTTAAGAGCATGCTGAGGCGTGTAAAAAGGAATCAAAGTAGCCATGTGTGCTCTGCGAAGTTCAAGAAATGCTTTCTTTCCAAAGAGCACTTAAAACGACAACGCGCTAACGCTCCTCTGGGCACTCAGCAAGGCGACACCGGCCAGGGATCACAGCGCGTGGTAGCTAGAAGCTGGCAGACAGGAATTCAAGAGCAGCCCTCAGCTACATAGCAAGTTTGGGGCCAGCCTGGGCTACATGAGACCATGTCTAAAACAAAACAGCAGGGCCTAAGGACGTAGATCAGCTGGTAGCATGCCTGCCAGCACAGGGGAAGTAGAAACAGAGAACCAGTGTCATCCTTGGCTACTCAGGGTCAGCCTGGACTACATCTCCAAAACCAACACAATCACACCCTAGAGCAGACAGATGGAATTTCAGAATGCAGATTTGAATTCATCACCTTCTCCTGCACCCTCAGCCCCACCTAGCTGGAAGTTCTGTTCTGATTGCTTGTTTTCATCGTTTGAGATGATTATTTTTCCTGCCTTCTTCCAACATCTGGAGCTCTCCACTCTACCTGCTCCTCCCACCCCTACTCCAGAGAACAGAAGAACCTCATTCTTCATGTGGAAAACTAAGGCCCTACAGGCTGGTAGCTCACATCTATAATCCTAGTTCCTGGGATTAGGGGCTGTAGTACACACTGAGACACCAGTGTACGAATACGGGCGGCCGGACTGCGTCCCTGGCACCCGACTGCCCACACGGCTAGCTTTACCGGAAATAATTACACGGAAACTGTATTCTTTTAAACATTGTCTGGCCCATTAGTTCCAGCCTTTTATTGGCTAGCTCTTACATATTGATCTAACCCATTTCTAATAATCTGTGTAGCCCACGAAGTGGCTTACCAGGGACGATCTTAACCTGCGTCTGTCTGGAGTGGGAGAACCATGGCTACTCACTGACTCAACTTTCTTTTTCCCAGCATTTTGTTTTGTTTTTTCCGCCTACCTAAGGGTTGGCCTATCAAATGGGTCTAGGCAGTTTTTTTATTAATAAGAAATCACTCCCACATCACACCAGAATCAAGAGTTCAAGATCAGCCAGGACTACATAACTACCTAATGAAAACCTGTGACACACATGCACAAAGAGAGAGAGAGAGAGAGAGAGAGAGAGAGAGAGAGAGGAGAGCTGGAGAGATGGCTCAGTGGTTAAGAGCATACTTTGCTTGGAGTAGACCCAAGTGTAGTTCCCAACATGTTATTCCAGCTCCAGGGGAATCCAGTGCCTCTGGCCTCTGAGGGCACCCGACTACGGGGTGCACACCTACACACACACACACACACACACACACACACACAGAGAGAGAGAGAGAGAGAGAGAGAGAAACACACACATACACACAAACACATAATTTTAAAAATTGAAACAAATCTTTAAAAGAAAGGAAAAAAAGAACCTGCCCAACCACCCCCAGATAGGAGGCTGTCAAATCACTGACTCTGCCCCTGCCGTGTCCTGGACGCGCTCATCCTTTCTATAATAATGAAGGAAGCAGCGATGCTGCCAGCAATGTCTCCTTGCACTTTGCATGACAGCCCTTCAAGCAAGAGCTGATGCTCTTCTGGGATAGGAAGGTTTTGGGGATGGCGGGGGGACACCAAGTTTTCAAAAATTACTTCTTAGCATTGCCTCTTGTCTTAGTCAGGGTTACGATGGCTGTGATGAAACACGTGACCAGATGCAGCTTGGGGAGGAAAGGGTTTATTTCACTCTCACTTACGCACAACAGCTCATCCAAAGCAGTGAGAGCAGGATCTCACTCAGGGCTGGAGGAGGAGCTGATGCAGAGGCATGGAGGGGTGCTGCTTACTGGCTTGCTCCTCATGGTTTGTTCAGCTGTTTCTTACACAGCTTTCCCTGTCCCTTTGACTCAGGTGACTCTGGACAGCCGTCTGTAGCATCAACAGGAGAGCTGCACATGAATGTGAGCAAGGATGGGTGTAGAAAACCTTCTCTGAGAGCTCCCAAAGGGGCAGCCCCATGGCTGTTACCTGCCCCCTCTGTTTCAGCATACAGGGGTGGAGCCCAGCAGTGGTGGCCTTAAACCCAGCTCCAGAAGCAGAGGCAGGCAAGGTTAGCCTGCTCTACAGACACTCGCAGAGGATAAGTTCTCAATACCCACCCATATCAGGGAGCTGACAACTTCTTGTCCTGTAGCTCCAGCTCCAGTGAACTCCAGAAATATCTGACACCCCTGGCCTCCTGGGGCACCTATGTTCATGTGCACATACCCCCAACCCACAAACACACACAAATGGGGCTAGGGGAAAAAAGCAACAACAAAACCATTTCAGTTTTGGATGGGTGAGATGGCTCAGCAGGTGACATTGCCACACAACATAGACAACCTGAGTCCCATCCCCAGAACCCACATACAGGGGCAAGGAGAAAACAGACTCCACAAATTGCCCCCTGACCTCCACACGAACACCATGAAGTAAGTATGCCTGCACTTACATAATGTCCGCCTGCTGGGCATGGGAGAGAGCATCTGGAGTCCCAACACTAGGAGGCAGGGGCAGGAAGGTTGCCTGGGGTTCAGGACCATCTTAGCCTATACAGTGAGACCTGTACCAAAAGGCATCGACTTGATGATGGCTTTGTGTATAGCTCAGTGGAAAAAACACTTGCCTAGCATGTGTGTATCCCTGGGTTCAAATCCTCAGCACAGGTTCAAAATCATTCAGCTTTAAAAGTAAGGTCGAAAGGCAGGAGATATGTGTCACACACACATACATACTCCTGACATACAGTCAAGAGTCAAGAGTGTCATACTGCTCTTCCAGAGGACCTGGGAAGTGGAGCCCTGACAGAAGCCAGTAACTCCAGCCTCAGCGGACTCGATGTCTCTGGCCTCAGGGACCTGCACTCACATATCACATGCTCACACAGTCACACACGCATAATTAAAAATAAGAAAACAAATCGTTAGAAGTAAGGTTAGTGGTCTGAATTAGCCACATTTATCTGCACAGGAAAATAAAACCTTTCTTATAGAAAATGAGTTTGATTGACTAATGAATTAGAAAAGGAGGTCAGGCATGGCAGGGCATGTCTGTGATCCCAGACGTAAGGACCCCAAGTTCCAAACCAGGCTGCTGGGCTAGCTAACAAGACTCTGTCTCCAAACAACAAGGGATGCAGGTCAGTGGTGGAGCCTCTGTCTGATGTGTACGTGAGGCCTGGGGGGCGGGGGTTCTAGACCCAGCAGCAGAGGTGGGGGGAGGTGGCTGGTAAAGAAGGCATACATAGTGATCATTTACTCTCAAATAGAATAATCTCAGTCTGCTCCAGAGTTTAAGCAAGAGCATATTCAAAGTTCTGGTACATCTAGCTGCATGTGCAAGACTCTGAGTTGGATCCCTAGTGCTATAAAAAAAAAAACAAAACAAAACAAAAAAAAAAAACAAATCAACGGGTCTAGAGAAATGGTTCCGTGGTTAAGAGCCGCTCTTCCAAACTAACCCGAGTTAGTTCCCAGCGTGGCAGTTCACTGTGCTGTGGAGCAGTCTTTACACTGTAAATATGTACTGCTCTCATTGTTACTAAAAAGCTGCTTGGCCAAAGACTAGGCGGGATTTTCAGGGCAGAGAGGATGCTGGGGAGAAGGGCAGAGTCAGAAGAAATCACCAGGCAGACAGAGAGGAAAGCAAGATGAATGTGCCCTGTTGAAAGAAGGTACTGTCATGTGGTAGAGGGTAGATAAAAAATACGGGTTAATTTACAATATAAGAGTTAGCTAGTAACAAGCTTGAGCTTTTATAATTAATATTGAGTCTCCGTGTCAGTTATTTGGAAACTGGCAGATGGAAAAAATAGTCTGCCTGAGCAGCAGCCTTCGGAGATCCCGTGGATCTGTGTCTTGCTTCAACAGTGTTTGGACGCCAAGCGTCTCCTCAAGTTGGAGAACGATCGCGGAGGCCGTGCACTCTTTCAGGATGTGCAGAAGCCATCTCAAGACGAGTGGGGTAAAACCCAGGAGGCCATGGAAGCTGCCCTGGCCTTGGAGAAGAACTTGAACCAGGCCCTCTTGGATCTTCATTCCCTGGGCTCTGCCCGCACAGATCCTCATCTCTGTGACTTCCTTGAAAACCACTTCCTGGATAAGGAGGTGAAGGTCATCAAGAAGATGGGCAACCACCTGACCAACCTCCGCAGGTTGGCTACTGGGCCCCAGGCATCTCTGGGCGAGTACCTCTTTGAGCGGCTCACTCTCAAGCATGACTAGGAGGCCTCTCCTTCTGAGGGGCTCCCACCTCTGCTCTGCACCAGCCCGCCTCAGGACCTTCACCCTAACCTCTCAAGAAGCCACTAGGCAGCTTTGTAACGCCCTGGAGCCCCTCTCAAGTTTTGGACCAAGTAAAAATAAAACCTTCTGAAGCAGCAAAAAAAAAAAAAAAAAAAAAAAAATAGTCTGCCTACACATCTGTAACTACAGCTCCAGAAAACCCAGTGCCTTCTTCTGACCTCTGTAGGTACCAGGCATGCATGTGGTACACAAACACACATGCAGGCAAACACTCATACACAAAAAAAAATATTTAAAAATAAAATAAGACAGAACGAGGTGTGGTGGTTCATACCTTTAATCCCAGAACCAGGGAGGCAGAGGCAGGCGGCTCTCCACACATTCGAGGTCAGCCTGGTTTACAGAACAATTCAGGCTAGCCAGGGTTACATAGTGAAACCTTGCCTCAAAAATAAACAAACACAAACAAATAAATAAAATTCAATAAACTTTCCTTTTCAGCAAAAATGGAAGGGATCAGTGATCAGACTTACCACCCTGTCTGAAACAACCAACCCAACAGCAGGAGCCAGAAAATGGTGGAATTCACAACCGGGTACATCACACAGCAAAGACCAGTGCTTCCAAACAGATAAGAAATGAATAAGACCAGGCCCAGGAGCACCCCAGCTTTGCTGAGATCCCAGCGTGTACCACGGGGAGGGAGAGCCAGGGCAAAGCCACAAGGACTGTGGAGCCTTAGGTGTCAGTTCAGAGTCTGGGGAGTCAGAATGGGGAGTGCTCAGAACACAGTCCTGAAGCGTACAAAGAGAATTCCGGGGCCTCTGAAAAATGTTACACCCCAGCTTCTCTCTCGTCTAAGAGGGAGGAAACTACCTGAACCCAAGGAAAGATCCACCAAAAATAAGAAAGATGCTACAACTCACGTAAGACCCGAGGGACACCTGTTTCACCAGCCAGATGGGAAACCCCACAGCTGTGAAGAAGGGTCCTAGCCGGGTCTACACACTGCTCTGATGTGGGAGTCCCCTCTGTGTGCTGTGATTACCATAAATGAATAAAGACTGTCTTGGCCTTTTGATAGGGCAGAGCTTAGGTAGGCGGGGAAGATAGAACTGAATGCTGGGAGGAAGAAGGGCGGAGTGAGAGGGACTGCCATGGAGCCTCCACCGCCAGAAGAGATAGATGTGCTGAAACTTTGCTGGTAGGCCATGAACTCATGGTGATGCACAGATTAATGGAGATGGGTTAAATTAAGATGTAAGAGTTAGCCAATAAGAAGTTAGAGCTGCCAGGCGGTGGTGGCACACGCCTTTAATCCCAGCACTCGGGAGGCAGAGGCAGGCGGATCTCTGTGAGTTCGAGGCCAGCCTGGTCTACAAGAGCTAGTTCCAGGACAGGCTCCAAAACCAGAGAAACCCTGTCTTGAAAAACCAAAAAAAAAAAAAGAAAGAAAGAAAAGAAAAGAAAAGAAAAGGAAAGAAAGAAAAAGTTAGAGCTAATGGGCCAAGCAATGTTTTAATGAATGTGGTTTCTGTGTGATTATTTCAGTTCTGGGCAGCTGGGACAAACAAGCAGCCTTCCTATTACACTGCTCAGTTCCACCCAACTCTTACACAGCTCTCTCTCTCTCTCTTCACCAGAAGTCTCACTGTGTAGCCTTTGCTGGCCTGGAAATTGCTATGTAGAACAAACTGGCCCTAAACTCCTAAGAGACCCATTTGCCCCTGCCTTTCCAGTGCTGGGATTAACGTCCTCCCCACCTCACCTGGCTCTTTTTCTCTGTTTTGGTGCTTGGGGCTGAATACAAGACTTTACACATTCTTTTCTTTCTTTTTGCTGTTACTATTTTACTATCATTTAAATTGTGTATATGCGTGTCTGTGTTTGTATGGAGATGTGTGCGCATCTGTGTGAGTGCCCCTGGTCCAGAAGGGCCTGTCACATCCCTGGGAGCTGGGTTACAGGCAGTTGTGAGCCTCCCCAAACGGGTGCTAGGAGCTTGGGTCTTCTAGAAGAGTCAGATGCTCTATTAACAGCTGAGCCACCTCTCCAGCCCTCAACCTCACACATTCTAAGCACACGCTCTACCACTGAGGTACAGCATCATTTCATGCTGTCAGATCTTAAAACAGGCTTAGGGAAGATTAAATTTGCATTAAGCAACTAAATCCACCCAAGGAAAGCTCAAGAATATTTTTATAAATCCAAAAATAATCAGTCCCACCAAACACAAAATTCACAACGTCTGGAGTTTCTAGCAAAACAATTACCAGCACAACAAAAATGACCCATTCTGAGGGGAAAAAAATCAATTGAAATGAAGCCCAAACTGACACATAAATGATAATTAGATGGAGACAAGTGGTTATTATAACTCTCTTCCATATGCTGTAAGGAGAGATCTGAAATGTATAAAAATATCTACCTTCAACTAGTGGTTGTGAAAACTACAATGTTTGAGATTAGGAAAAAAAATCAGTGGATGAAATCAACAGTATAGAAACTACAGTGGTGTGTGTGTGTGTGTGCGCGCACTACAGTGGTGTGGGGGGGGTGTGCGCACGGGCACAGGCACGCACACACATGTCAGTGCGGATAATAATAGGGGCTGAGGAGTAGTTCAAAGGTAGAACACTTCCCTGGCACAATCAAAATTCTGGATTCTAGCTCCCCCATGAGGACATACTAACAGAAATTATACAACAGAACACCAAAAAAAAGATACAAATGTATAAAATTAAACAAAATATATACTACACTGAAATTATATCCCTTACAACTATCTAACATTATGGACAAAATCCAAACCAAAAAAACAATAACAAAAATCCAACATCAAGGGCCAGGAATGGTGGCACATGTTCATAAAACCAGTTATTTGGGCAGTAGAAGCAGGAAGATAAGGAGTTCAAGTCCAGTCTGGGCTGTACAAAGCCAGGCTTCAAAAGCAAAATGAAAACCCTCAGTAGCACAGTGTTCTAGACATGTTCTTTTCCACTCCAGCCCTAACGACACAGAGATTTATTATTTATTATTAAATCTTGGCCTATAGCTTAGGCTTGTTCCTAACAAGCTCTTTTTGTGTGTGTGTGGGGGGGGGGGGGGGGTTCGAGACAGGGTTTCTCTGTAGCTATAGAGCCTATCCTGGCACTAGCTCTTGTAGACCAAGCTGGTCTCGAACTCACAAAGATCCACCTGTCTCTGCCTCCTGAGTGCTGGGATTAAAGGCATGCGCCACCACCACCCAGCCCTAACAAGCTCTAATACTTTCAATTAACCCATATTTTTTTTTATTAATCTACGTTCTAACATGTGACTTTTACCTCGATCTGATTCTACGTGTCCATCTCATTCTGCATCTGACTGGCATCTCTGCCCCTCTTCTTCCCAGAGTCCTCTCTGTACCTGAAAGTCCTGCCTATACCTTCTGCCTAGCTATTGGCCATTTAGCTCTTTATTAAACCAATCAAAAGGCACCTTTGCTAGTGGCCCTATCAGAGGAGCTGCAGGTGACAATTGAGGTTCAAGATGTCAGCCCATCAGGAAGAAAGTCTCTGAAGGGTCAATCTTGGACAGGCAAGGCCCCAAGACCACAGACCCCAGGATGTCTTATGTTTTTGCTGTTCCTTTACATGTGTGCTGTTGCTATCTTTCTCTGGTATCTGACATGGTTGAATGGATGTGGGGAGAGATTCTCCACTACCTTAGTATAATGTGCTTATCCTATGGAAACATCCTGCTCACTGGACGTTTTTATCTGTGGATTGTCGTGAGGATGACTCCCCCCTAAGCTGAACTGTCTAACTGATAATGATGATGTTAGCTTACACAGAGATTTGATGAATCAAAGCAAACAAAGGGAAATGCTACACAGCCAGGAGTTGTGAGCTTTGCTTTAACTCGGGTTAATGATTAAGAAAAACAATCGACCCCTGTCCGCCTGATCGCCGCCATCATGGACAAAAGTCGCGTGCAGCCCATCAAGCTTGCTAGGGTAACCAAAGTGCTGGGCAGGACCGGTTCGCAGGGACAGTGTGGAATTTATGGATGACACCAGCTGCTCCATAATCTGAAACGTCAAAGGTCCCGTTTGAGAGGGAGATGTGCTCACCCTATTGGAGTCAGAAAGAGAGGCTCGGAGGTTGCGCTGACTGACCTTCCTGCTGGCTCTTGAGTATCCACCACTTGGCCCATGATGACCTGCGACTATTAAAGAAAACATTTGTATTGTTTTTTTAAAAAAAAGAAAGAAAGAAAAACAATCGAGTCCCCAGGAGCCAGGCTGGCTCTAATTCTCTTAATGCAGGAAGATGAAGCCACAAGTTTCAGTGTGCATTGCTAGCTAAAACAAAGCTCTAAACTAACTTCCTGTTAGATCAGATGTTTTGAAAACGACTTTGAGATGGTAAATCCCAGAAAGCAATCTAAAGTTCCCAAGGACACATAGCTGAGGTCAAAAATACAAAGCAGCCCAGTTGTATTGATAGTTTTCTTGATAGGATTGTTTGATGACCAAAGGTGATGATTAATTCCTTACACCCATTTCTGTCCTCAATCTCCTCTTATTAAACAAACAAACAAACTGAGACTGGAGAGACGGCTCGGTGGTGAAGAGCAGTGCTTGCTCTTCTAAAGGTCCTGAGTTCAATTCCTGGCAACCGCATGATGGCTCACAACCATCTGTAATGAGGTCTGCTACCCTCTTCTGGCCTGCAGACAGAATGCTGTACACAGAATAAATAAATCTAAAAAAAAAAAAACTATTGATGAGTGGGTATGCACCCTAAAGATTTAAAGTAGAGCTGACTGATTCTTTTTTTATATATAAACATTTAGGTTTGTGATTCTTTTAAGATTCCTTATAAAATTACCTTTCAAGATAAGTAATAAAGTAACTGGCCTTTTCTTTATAACCACAAAATGCAGCCTTCCAGTAAGAGAACTGACTGAGAAGACCTTTCTTGCCTACACAGTTGATCTATAACAAGTTG